ACTATGGCTGTTGTGGTTGCTTTTAGCAGAAGTCTAGGGAGGAAAAAGTTGACACACTTGGCAACGGCTGCTGTCTGCCTTAAAGGTCCCAGGACTCACAAGGTGCTGTGGAGAAGAGGTTGTTCATAATATAGACAGGAAACCTGCAAAGAGGACCTGCCTGTTCCAAGGGAAAATCTATATAAGGAGCCTCTTAAGAAATAAATCTTGTGTGAGAAATACGTAGATTATAAGAATGTACAGCTTTTCCTAGTTTATTTCTCCATTTACTGGATGCATTTATGGAAGGCACATAACTCATTTTTATGGGAAGAAACAGACATCACAAAAGCAATTAAGAGAACTCAAGTAATGGAGTTTATGCCAGTTGCATACAAGGATACTGCAGATCTCAAAGACCCTAAAGTTTATAACATAAAATATCAGGAATGAGTTACATAAGATTATCAATAAACTTACTTTATAATGTGTGGCTGTATGATGTTATCACTGCTTCAGAAGAACCCTTGGGTAGAATAGTGATTCTGGAATGAAGCTTCCTTTCCTAATGTTCATTAAATAGATTATTTAAAAAGTTAGTATCACATTTTACATCACTGTGAATAAAAGTGGCAGAATTTAAATAAAACATTTAAAAAAAAACAGACTCACCTTACATTGTGGTCCTCCCAAGCCGCACAGCCAGCCAGGATCACGGGCACACACAACGCACCTGGGGTATTCAGGTTGATCTGGGATTTGAATCAAGGTCTCCCATCTGGCTCCAGTATCATGCAGCAGAGCCCCATCACCTGTGCCACCACAGATGCACCCACTTTCTGTTTCCTAACACTGTTTTGGTTCAGTAAAGTATGAAAGGAGGCCTTGAGGTAAAAATAGGAGGTAGTTTCAGAGAGGTGAGATCACATGAAAAATTAGTTTTGATTGTAGAAATGGAGTAAAAGAGAGACACAAGCAAAGAATGTTTTGCTGCACTATTGAGAGCTCTTACAAAATCTGTGTTGATGAATATAATGATTTCCATGGACTCATACCTACCCGGCTCCTATATCAATCAGGAATGGTTTGGATGCCATCAGTAAGACATGTGATCACAACAAGATGCAGGAGAGTGGGTTAACATATACAAAGAAAGTGGGATGCCCTTGAAAGATTTCCTGGACTATTTTGGAGAACTATAAGGAAGGCATCTACAAGTTTTGCAGATTGGAATTGAGCCAGAGCTAATACTTCACTATTTTATTATTGAAACCTTGTCATGTTCCACAGGCTAGGGTGGACTTCAGAATAGGAAGGGGGAGTGGATCATCTTAGCTGATGTGTAACAGTGTGAAGAAAGTAAAACTATTGGTGTTTTCCTCCATTTTATAGTTGATAAAATGCGTCACAAGAAAGTGAGACATTGGGGGTTAGCCTCTGTGGTGCAGTTGGCCACATGCCAGACTGTGGAGCTAGAAGGCACATGCTCAATCTGCCTGAGAACATGTGAGGCAGATCCTGGTGGACTGGAGGGGGGATTGTGGCATGACAGAGCCCCATGGCGGGCACGCTCTTTCTCTCTTGCACACACATGTGCATGCATGCACATTGAGGAAGAAAAGAAAGTGAATCATTGGGCTGGTTTGGTGGTGTAGTGGTAACATACTGTGCAAGCAATGTTACATCCATATTGAAGATCACAGGTTCCATCCCCCAGCTGACTTCTACACACTGAACATACATGCCCATGATTCTGGCTGGCTGGGAAGGCTGGTGGGGGAATCTCAATGTGAAACTCTGATAAAGGTATTTGTTATTCTCTTTTTATCTCTCTCATGAAAGAACATAATTTTACCATAGGGTGTGTGTGCTTGCTGGAGAAGAGAGACAATAAGAGTGAAAGTGAGAAAACACCCCCTAGGGAAATGACCATGTTGCAATCCTTTCTCCCTCATTCTCCTCCTGGGATTTTGGGCACACACGCATTTGTGCCTGCCATGATTTTCAAGCCACTGAGTCTGGGACTCAAACTGTAGCCAGCCATGTGGGAGTCCAGTGCCTTAACCACTACACCACTTACTGGCCCAGAAAATAATTTATGAAAAAATAAAAACAAGGAGGAGGAGGGGAAGGAGGAAGTGGAAGAGGAGGAAGGGGAGGAGGATAGGAAGAAGGAAGAGGAAAAGGAGGAGGAAAGGGGAGAGGGGAGAGGAAGAAGAGAAAAAGAAGAAGAAAAGGAAAGAAGGTAGCAAGTACGAGGCCAGGACTGGAATACAGAGTTTTTATCTACTGCAGAGAAAGGAAATTTTTATCTCTATCTTATAGTTTTCAACTAAGTCTGAGAATTAAATTGACATAAATAGATTAATAGAAAAATCAAACAAATGTGTATATTTCATGTGATACAAGAGCCCTCATAGGGAAATAAATGCCTAAAGAAGTGACAAAACTTAAATGCCTTTATACTGGGCTGAACAAAGAGAAGTAATTGTGGCAAAGTAACTACATTAAGTGAACAGGCTAAGGGAAGGTAAGAATTACTTCAAAGTCTGATTATACAGAACTCTCTTGGTTATGACTAAATGTTTCTTTTCTCCTGGGTCAAAGAGAGTGTGTTTTACATGGGAGTTTTTGCCTCTGTCTTAAGGAAGAACAGAGGTGATTAGCATATCCTTCTTGCATCTGCTGTTCTTAAAGAGCCTTTAGCTTAAAATTATACAGTTGCCATAGTGGCATATTTTGGGATGTTGTATTCTGCCACCCTCTACTTCCACTTTTGTGTTTTACTGTGAAAGATTGACACAATTTTAATAGGGTGTTAGTATTAATGGATTTTTTTTCAACATTGACTGTTTCTTTTGAACATAAATACTAGAAGTCTATTGTCTTTAGCAAAGAAAAACCAACCTACGGCACTGAGTTCAGATTCTTCTAATTAACTGTAATTTGGGAAATCCTGTGACCTCTGTAATAGACAGACAGTTATCTTATTCAGCTTTGCCCACTTAGAAAAAATAATCTTAAGTAAAAAGTATATATTTTTAAATTACTAATTTTTCCAAATCTGAATTTTCAAAAACTTTCTTAACTTAGACAATTCTTCCTCCTGAGTCTACTTTCAATTAAATTGTGCCAATTTCTATACTAAGGACAGCCTATTACAGGGCTATCCGTGAAAATGTTGACATATTCCAGAGACTGAGCAGCTCATTTTTATCAGTACTTAAATATTTAATTCAATACCCCAAAGCCTTGAAGAGTTGTTTCAGGAAGATAATAAAACTTGGAAACCAAAGTTTGCTTTGAATATTATTTATCTACTAGAAAAGAATTTTCAATAAACTCTAAGGATTCTTAAGTCAAACAAATACTTATCAACTGTGGTAATTGGACACCCGGTCCTCTTCATGCTACTGGAATTACTGACAGACCATATGCTGCCACTCACTGTCTTCCCTTAAAATTCTCTACAGCTAAAAAGCATGGTATCTCTAAAAAAGACCCTTTAAAATTCCTCAGGAAGTAGCTATCAGCAGAAGAATTCATTAAATTTGGTTGACCATTTGCCTGTCATTTATCCATAGAGATTATTTTACCTCTCTTGGCTTTTCAGGCTAACAGGAAAATGGTTAATGACTATTCATGTGGTCCCAGAGAAAATTCCTTCTGGAGGAAATTGAAGGCAACTTCAGTGTCAGAATGAACAGCATGGCCTTCGCTAGGAGGTAAAAACACCAAGAGAGCTTCAACTTGAATCCCAGTATCAGTTCTTGAAATCCAAAATGAGTGAATACTTAAATTTTACATCTTAACTTTTAGTTTAGATTTTCCTATAATCCAATAATTTTGAGCACCTTAGAAAATCACTTGTGCCTAAGAATTGTTTCTAAGTGAAAAAGAATAAAAGAATTTTGTGAGGCCAGTCTTCTATAGCATGTTTACAGGCCTCAGACCAAAATACTTAGAACTTTATCTTCTTTGAGTTTACCAAGTATAAGATACTTGTAAATTGATAGAAAATCTTTATAAACATTTATATATTCCAAGAGATGTCTGCAATAGTTTTATTTGAATATATTTCTATCTAAATATTCAATCAAGGGAGTTTCTTTCTATCTAATACATAAATCCTCTGCATGTTTAATATGGTTTGGTTTTTTAATGAAAATTAAGTAAAATTTTATGTGTATACAAACCTGTCTTTATCAATTTAAAATTGCTAAATCAATAGGAAAATTTCAAAATAAGGCAAACTTTAATTAAATATCTCTTTCTTTCTTTCTTTCTTTCTTTCTTTCTTTCTTTCTTTCTTTCTTTCTTTCTTTTCTTTCTTTCTTTCTTTTTGAGAGATTTTTGCTGTAGGGTACGTATGCTCACCAGAGAAACAGAGAGACAGAAAATGAGAAATTATCCCCCAGGAGGATGGCCACATCACAATCCCTTCTCTTCCACTCTCCTCTTGGGATCTTGGGTGCACACACATACACACTCCCGGTGTGATTTTTTAAGCCACAAGGTCTGGGACTCGAATCATAGTTGACTATGTGGGAGTCCAGTAATGTAACCATTACGCCATTCACTGGTCCCTTAAATATGTATTTCTTTATTTACTTTTAGCTATTATGATGTGTCCTGATAAACAAAACTAGAGAAGAGAGAGACATCAGTTTTGGAAAATAATAATTAATCAAAATGAATTGACTATCTACTGTTCTTGGGTAAAAAAACAAACATTAAATAAGACATGAATATGAAATTATAAGGGCTGCTCCAGCAAAAGCAGATAAGCAAGCAACCTAATCCAGGATTTCCTAAAGCATTCTTAGGAAATTTTAATTTTTTGATAAGGCAGGGGCAATTTATCTGACAATATTATGGCCACCTGTGGTTTTCATTAGCTGAGAGTAGCTGATTTCTTATACTGTAAATGGAAAATGTAGCCAAATAAACAGATTCTTTTATCATACTAAGCACTTGCACAAATAACAAACATCCAGTTTTTAATATCAAGAGTTGATTTTGAATTTCAAGAGTTGAACCATTTTGTGCTGTTTTATAAATACTGTCTGTCTGGGCAAGCCAGGTGGCAGCTGGATCTCAATGGTCAACTGCATGGTTCGAGCCCTGGGCCTATGACTTAAAAAACATGCCAGGCGTGTGTTTGTGTGTGTGTGTGTGTGTGTGTGTGTGTGTGTGTACGTGCCTGAAATCCTGAGAGGAGAATGGAGCAGGGTCGTGCCTGCTGGGGTGGCAGAGTGCTTTCTCACTTTCTCTCCCTCCCTTTCTCTCTCTCTCTTTCTCTCTCTCTGTCTCCCTCAGGCAAGTACATGTGCCCTATAACAAATTAGAAAAAAGAAAGAAAAATTATTGTCTGCCTTAGCCCTTTCAGACACTAACTTGAAATAGCTGGCTCTCTGGGAGCCACTCTGGGCAATTTTTAATTTCTCAATCTAAAAAACTGTCAAAGCCTTCAAGGATTTGATTGTTTACCAGTTCTCTAAAAATACGGTTACATTCAATTCTAATAATAGGCCACCGGAGAACAACCATGGAGTTAGTGTTATGTGTTTCCTTATTCCAGCCCATTGTTTAAAATATTTAAGAATGCAGATTTTCATAAACAAAGCTCCCCTAATCACTGTGATGTTATAACCTCGGTACTGATAAGAAGTTGGAAGTAATTGATTTATGGCAAATACTGTCTTAGAGGAATCAAATGATGCAGCTACCATTCCTACAGTATTAGTAATTTCAATGAACTAAATCTAAATCTGTCACATTATTATTTAATACAG